GCTCTGCAGCCTCAGTTCTACTCCACCAGCAGCAGCAGCCTCCCTGTGCGGTTTCTCCACATTCCCCTTGTGGCCGGCCGGGCCAGCCATTTGGTGCCCCCCCGGCCCCTGGCTGCACAATACCTGCCATTCACGCTTTTTCATCTTGCAAGCATGTTCCACAAGTAAGTAAATAAGTGAAATGAACCAAAATGTTCCATGGAATCTCTATGGACAGTAATTCCACGCTCCAATAATAAGAATAGAGCAGTCGGGATATATTATCCACCACCTGATCAGGACCGTGATGGTGGCTATGAAATGCCAACGGAGGTGAGAGAAGCTATCAAAATAAACAACTCAATAATAGCGGGGGATTTCAACTAGCCCCGTATTGTCTGGGTGCACGTCGCCTCAGGGCAGGATGCAGAGATAAAATTTCTTGATACCTTAACCGACTGCTTCTTGGAGCAGCTGCTTCTGGAACCCACAAGGGGAGAGGCAGTTCTCGATTTAGTCCTAAGTGGAGCACAGGGCCTTGATCAAGAGGTAAATAGAACTGGGCTACGTGGAAATAGTGACCATAATGTAATACAATGTAACATCCTTGTGGTGGGGAAAACACCTCAGCAGCCCAACATTGTGGCATTTAATTTCAGAAAGGGGAACTACACAAAAATGAGGTTAGTTGAACAGAAATTAAAGGTCCAGTGACAAATTTTAAATCCCTGCAAGCAGCATGGACACTTTTCAAAGACACCATAATACAGGCCCAACTTAAAATGTACTTCCCAAATTAAAACACACAGGCTATGTCTACATTGGCAAGATTTTGCGCAAATACTTTTATCGCAAGGGTTTTTGCATTAAAGTATTTGCTCAAGAGAGCGTCTACACTGGCATGTGCTTTTGCGCAAGAGCATCCGTACCAGTGTAGACGCTCTCTTGCACAAGAAAGCTCCGATGGCCATTTTAGCAATCGGGCTTTCTTGCGCAAGAAATTCATGTTGCCTGTCTACACTGGCCTCTTGCGCAAGAACAGTTGTGCAAGAGGGCTTTTTCCTGAGCGGGAGCATCATAGTTCTTGCGCAAGAAGCCCTGATTTCACACATTAGAACGTCAGTGTTCTTGCGCAAGAACTCCCCGCCAGTGTAGACAGGCAGCATGTTATTGCGCAAAAGCAGGTGCTTTTGTGCAAAATCATGCCAATGTAGACACAGCCACAGTAAGAGAACCAGAAAAGTGAAGTTAGTAAAGTAAGTTGACATTGGACAAGAAGAAAGGTCCTCTGATGGACTGAGAACTGGTTAAAAGACAGGAAACAAAGGGTAGGAATAAATGGTAAATTTTCAGAATGGAGAGGGGTAACTAGTGGAGTCCCCCAAGGGTCTGCCCTGGGACTAATCCTATTCAACCTATTTATAAATTATCGGGAGAAAGGGGTAAATAGTGAGATAGAATAATTTGCTGACGATACTAAACTGCTCAAGAGAGTTAAGACCAAAGCAGACTGTGAAGAGCTTCAAAAAGATCTCACCAGACTAAGTGATTGGGCAACAAAATGGAAAATGAAATTGAAGGCAGATAAATGTAAAGTCATGCACATTGGAAAAATAATCCCAACTACCCATACAATATGATGGGGATTAATTTAGCAACAACTACTCAAGAGAGAGATCTTGGAGTCCCTATGGATAGTTCTCTGAAAACATCCACGCAATGGGCAGCGGCCGTCAAAAAAGCAAACAGAATGTTAGGAATCATTTAAAAAGGGATAGAGAATAATAGAGAGAATATCCTATTGCCTCTATATAAAACCATGGTACGCCCACATCTTGAATACTGTGTACAGACATGGTCGTCTCATCTCAAAAAATATATACTGGCATTGGAAAAGGTTCAGAAAAGGGCAACACAAATGTTGAGGGGTTTGGAACGGGTCCCATATGAAGAGAGATTAAAGACTTGGACTTTTTAGCTTAGAAAACAGGAGACTAAGGGGGAGGGACAGGATAAAGGTCTATTAAATCGTGATGGGGGCAGAGAAAGTGAATAAAGGAAGTTATTTATTTGTTCCCATAATATAAGAACTAGGGGTCACCAAATGTAGTGAACAGGCAGCAGGTTTAAAACAAAAAAAGGCAGTTTTTCTTCACACAGCACACAGTCAAACCTGTGGAACTTCTTGCCAGAGGATGTGGTGAAGAGTAGGACTTTAACAGGGTCGAAAAAGAACTAGACACATTCATGGAGGGTAGGTCTATCAATGGCTAGTAGTCAGGATGGGCAGGGATGGTGTCCCTAGCGTCTGTTTGTCTGGGAATGGGTGACAGGGGAGGGATCATGTGAGGATTCCCGGTTCTGTTCACTCCCTCTGGGGCACATGGCATTGGCCACTGTCGGCCGACAGGACACTGGGCTGGATGGACCTTTGATCCGACCCAGTATGGCCGTTCTTACGTTCCTCATACCTTCTGCGAGACCACTTGTCGGACCATCATTTAGTGTTTGGAAAGTCCCTCTGTGATGTTATAGGATTAAAACATGACCACGTGGGTCATTGTCCTACCACTGCAACACACCTTGTGCAAAGTGCCATGTGCAGTGCCAAAGGGAACGTCGTGATGTGGGGACAGTGATTATCTTGTTTGTGTGTGGACATCATTTCTGAACCAGAACAGGCCGGCCCCGGCAGAATGGGAGGGCGCTGGGTCCCAGCTAAGCAGGTAAGCACATTGCTGAGTGGGGAGAAGGGCAGTAAACACACCATCCGTGCCGTACCTGCCAACACACAAGGGATGGCAGAGGAGCACACCGACCCTTGTGCATATCGGGGGGGTGAGGGGATAACGGTTACAGACGGTTTGTTCAAACGAGCAGGCAGAAGGCTGAAGAGGGTAGGAACACACAGAGCGAATGTTTGTTTGTTTGCATGTGTGTGTCAATGTAGGAAAGGGGAAGTCACAGGGGAATCATAGTCACCACATCACAACGTTCGTGCTGGCCGAGGGGCAGCGTTGTGGCTGCTGACTGAGCCGGTACCGTTCTCGGGGTGGGACACGTCTCCCTGTAGCTGTGCCTGGGGAGCTGGGACACTAGCATCCTGCTCCTTCAACAACAAACCTGGCCGAGCACCTTAGCCCCCTGAACGGAGCCCATGTCTTCCTTCACCAACGACTCTGAGCTGTGCTGCATGGGCAAGCCACACGCTGACAGTGCAGCTTGTATCAGAGCTCCAGAGAGCCACCCTGAGCAGCCGAAATGACGCTCTGTGGCGCTAGCAGCAATTCGTATGGCGCTGCAATGTCTACGGGAAACAAAGATTGACAGTCACAGCAGCACCTGGAATCTCCAGTGTCAATCAGGACCCTACTGTGCTATCGGGGTGCTTAGATGGAGCGGAGCATCTCCCCTAATTATTATATTTATCCTTCCCCGGCCCTGTGAAAGATGGACACACTCTAAGAGCTATTGCAGAGACAGGGGACTGGATACAGACAGTCTAAGTGAGTCGACCAAGGTCACAAAGGAAGTCTGTGGCAGGGCATGCAACTGGACGCAGGTCAAACGAGTCTGAAGGCAGACATTCACCTAGGAAGAAAAGTCCCTGCCCAAAGAGATTTCCCTCTAAAAAGACAAGACAGATGAGGAGATTATCTCCATTCCACAGAGAGGCAAGTGAGCCCCAGGGAGAATAAAGCCAGACGTCTCAAAGGGGACCCAGGCCCTGTGCCTGACACACAGGAAGAGCTCTGCTCATGTCTATCTGCTACAGAGCTACCCCCACAGAACGCCCGCAGAGCGTGAACGGCCTCATCCGCCCTCCCTCAGCCCCAGCCCCTCTCCCTAGCAGGAACCAGCATGTCACAGAGATCAGCCACAGCTAGGGAAGGACTCTGGGAACCACGTCCTCCTTTCAGGGGTTCAGCCACTGGCACAAGGGGACCCTACAGGCACCAACAGCAGCCAGACCCAGACCCAGAACTCTGGTACCTGCCGTTCCTGCCCAGGCCCTGCTACCAACATCTCCAGCCAAGGCACAACATGGGCAAGATGGTGGGGAAGCACATTGAGACCTTGGCTGTGGGAAGAGCAGCACCATTGATACGTCTCTGACCCTGCATCCCCTGGAAGGTGGCGTGGAGGGGACAGTCTCTCACACAAGAGCCAGGTTTTTGGGGCTGACACTCCTGACATTGGGGGTCAGGGAGCAATGAGGGACCCTGAACCAAACCCAACCCAGCTGCTCTGGAGCCCTCCCAGCTTCTAATACCCGCGGGCACAGGAATCCTTACCCAGCCAGCGCACAGCCTCGTAATTCTCCTGCATCACGTCCCAATAGAGGGCTCTCTGGCCCGGGTCCAGCAGAGCCCATTCCTCCTCAGAGAAATACACAGCCACCTCCTCGAAGGTCACCGGCCCCGCCACGGCCATTTCCTGTCCCTGGCTCTGCAGGCCCAGGGCTGAGCTGGAGACAGACATGGGTGTCCTGCAGCCTGTTGGGGGAGAAGGGCCATTGGTTTTAATCCTTTCCATGCCCCCGTTCTCCCCAGACGCTGTCCCTGTTGACACACAGGCTAGACTTGGCCGTTTTGGGCGAATGCTTGGGTCTAGATATTCCATGAACAGCACACACAAGTTAGATCCCAAATCCATACTCATCTCTCTCAATACCTGGCTCGAATTCAACATCACTGCACCTACCACAATGAGATTCGGTTCTGAGCACCCAGTGGTTTGTTTAGTTGAGAAAAGAGAAGACTGAGAGGGGACACGAGAGCGGTTTTCAGGTATCTAAAAGGGTGTCATAAGGAGGAGGGAGAAAACTCTGAATGCTCTGAACACCGCCAGGAACTTTAGTGGGGCCTCTGATTAGCCCTCAGTTGGAGTCTTGTGTCTAGTTCTGGGCCCCACATTTCTGGACAGCTGTGGAGGAACTGGAGAGGGTCCGGAGAAGAGCAACAAAAACGATGCAAGGTCTAGAGAACAGGAGCTAGGAGGGAAGGCTGAAGGAACTGGGCTTGTTTAGTTTGGAAAAGAGAAGACTGAGGGGGGACATGAGAGCGGTTTTCAGATATCTAAAAGGGTGTCATAAGGAGGAGGGAGAAAACTTGTTCATCTCGGCCTCTGAGGATAGAATAAGAAGCAATGGGCTTAAACTGCAGCCAGGGAGGTTTAGGTTGGACACTAGGAAAAAGTTCCTGCATGTCAGGGTGGTGAAACACTGGAATAAATTGCCCAGGGAGGTTGTGGAATCCCCATCTCTGGAGATATTGAAGAGCAGGTTAGATAAATGTCTATCAGGGATGGTCTAGACAGTATTTGGTCCTGCCATGAGGGCAGGGGACTGGACTCGATGACCTGTCGAGGTCCCTGCCAGTCCTAGTATCCTAGGATTCTATGATTATTGAACGTCCGGGGGGTAACACACACAAACCTGCCAGAGAATGGTTTAACCTCCCTGCTCATTCAATTAGGGTTTCCAAGTGGCCATCCTTCTACAACACCCAGGTGGGACACATTCGTAAAGTCCTTTGAAACTGTAAGCAGACACAGAAACCATTGGGGACTCTTTCAGACCCTAAGACCAGAACCGGCCATTACAGGCTATGGGAAGGGCTGTATCTAAATGCATCTATCCCCACTGAGCAGGCAAGTCCATCTTACCCGGCAGGGACGAGCCACCTTGTGCAGTCCCTGAGGGACCTTGTGCCATTCAGAGCATGGCCCAGGGAAGCGGGTCCGGATATACCCATCTTGTAAATGGAGGAAAAAACCCACGTCTGCCTCACGCTTCATTCAGCTGCAGCTCTGGGGCTGAGGCGAGTGGAGCCCAGGGCTGGCTCCAGCCCGGCTGGGTGCTATGAGGCGCTGGGGAAGGGCTCTGGCCACCAGCCTGCTCACACACACCCCCAGGGGGGCAGCTGGGCTCCCAGCGCCCCACGGAGGCAGCAGCAGCGTAAGAGGCAGAAACCCAGCCCCGAATCTGCGGAGCGGCCTCAGCAACTGCCAATCCTGGAGCAACAAGCACCGCGGGTTAGCCCCTACACTGCCAGCGCTCAGCCACAGCCCCCTTGGCCACCTGGCACCCAGAACACCCCGCAGGGACTGACAGGACTAAGTATCATCTGGGGGGGACAAAATACAGCTGTGTGGTGGATCCGGACTCCCAAGTGCCAGATCCAGCTCGTTGTTACCACACTGTTGTGGCCCAAAGGGAGCTGGCATCCCCCCTTCCACACCGCTCCTGAAGGTCAAAATCTGCTCCTGCACCTTGCACCCCCAGACACGCTCCTGTACCCTGCAGCCACCCCATTACATGCTCCTGCTTTCACCCCCCCATACACATCCCTGCACCCTGCAGGCACCCCCTACATGCTCCTGCATCCTGCGCACCCCCATACACACTCCTGCACCTTTCACCCCCCCATACACATCCCTGCACCCTGCAGGCACCCCCTACATGCTCCTGCATCCTGCGCACCCCCATACACACTCCTGCACCTTTCACCCCCCCATACACATCCCTGCACCCTGCAGGCACCCCCTACATGCTCCTGCATCCTGCGCACCCCCATACACACTCCTGCACCTTTCACCCCCCCATACACATCCCTGCACCCTGCAGGCACCCCCTACATGCTCCTGCATCCTGCGCACCCCCATACACACTCCTGCACCTTTCACCCCCCCATACACATCCCTGCACCCTGCAGGCACCCCCTACATGCTCCTGCATCCTGCGCACCCCCATACACACTCCTGCACCTTTCACCCCCCCATACACATCCCTGCACCCTGCAGGCACCCCCTACATGCTCCTGCATCCTGCGCACCCCCATACACACTCCTGCACCTTTCACCCCCCCATACACATCCCTGCACCCTGCAGGCACCCCCTACATGCTCCTGCATCCTGCGCACCCCCATACACACTCCTGCACCTTTCACCCCCCCATACACATCCCTGCACCCTGCAGGCACCCCCTACATGCTCCTGCATCCTGCGCACCCCCATACACACTCCTGCACCTTTCACCCCCCCATACACATCCCTGCACCCTGCAGGCACCCCCTACATGCTCCTGCATCCTGCGCACCCCCATACACACTCCTGCACCTTTCACCCCCCCATACACATCCCTGCACCCTGCAGGCACCCCCTACATGCTCCTGCATCCTGCGCACCCCCATACACACTCCTGCACCTTTCACCCCCCCATACACATCCCTGCACCCTGCAGGCACCCCCTACATGCTCCTGCATCCTGCGCACCCCCATACACACTCCTGCACCTTTCACCCCCCCATACACATCCCTGCACCCTGCAGGCACCCCCTACATGCTCCTGCATCCTGCGCACCCCCATACACACTCCTGCACCTTTCACCCCCCCATACACATCCCTGCACCCTGCAGGCACCCCCTACATGCTCCTGCATCCTGCGCACCCCCATACACACTCCTGCACCTTTCACCCCCCCATACACATCCCTGCACCCTGCAGGCACCCCCTACATGCTCCTGCATCCTGCGCACCCCCATACACACTCCTGCACCTTTCACCCCCCCATACACATCCCTGCACCCTGCAGGCACCCCCTACATGCTCCTGCATCCTGCGCACCCCCATACACACTCCTGCACCTTTCACCCCCCCATACACATCCCTGCACCCTGCAGGCACCCCCTACATGCTCCTGCATCCTGCGCACCCCCATACACACTCCTGCACCTTTCACCCCCCCATACACATCCCTGCACCCTGCAGGCACCCCCTACATGCTCCTGCATCCTGCGCACCCCCATACACACTCCTGCACCTTTCACCCCCCCATACACATCCCTGCACCCTGCAGGCACCCCCTACATGCTCCTGCATCCTGCGCACCCCCATACACACTCCTGCACCTTTCACCCCCCCATACACATCCCTGCACCCTGCAGGCACCCCCTACATGCTCCTGCATCCTGCGCACCCCCATACACACTCCTGCACCTTTCACCCCCCCATACACATCCCTGCACCCTGCAGGCACCCCCTACATGGGGCACGTGCGGATGTGCACCACCCGCAGCCCAGCACGGCACCTGGCCCGCTCCTGGGGGGCTGCCCCCCGTGCACAGCGTAGGGCCAGGCCGCTTCCAAAGTGTAATCCCTGGAGAGCGCGGAAAACGCTTCCAGGCGGGGGGCTGCGGGACCTCTGCTCCGGTGTGCGCCAGAGTCGCCACAGCTAACCAAATTATGGCTAAAAAACCACACACGGTCTAGCAGCATGTTATAGACTAACCAACCATGTAGATCAGTGGTTCTGAAACTTTTTAAGACCGAGGAACACCAAGGGTTTTTGCTTGAGCCAAAAAAAAAAAAAGTTCGGGGCGTGGGAGTGGTTGGGGGGATGTTATTGAGGGGCAAAAAGGTTGGCGGGAAAGTTATTGAGAAAAAAAAAGTCGCTTGCCCCTTTAAGGGTGGCCATTTGAATGCTGCTGTTCGCGGCACACCGGTGTGCCACAGAACACGGTTTAAGAAACACTGAAGTAGATGGTATCATGAGCTGTCGTGGGCACAGCTGACTTCTTCAGATGACCACAGCAGCTCATGATACATCTACATGTGTTGGGTTAGTCTTTACAGTGCTACCAGCCCATGTGTTGTTTTTTAAGCGTATCCTATACAGACTAACTCCGCTACCCCCGCAAATTATATCTAGTTCATGCATTCCTCCCCAAAAGGCAGTAGCCATGAGTGGTTAGCACCTGGGCTTCCCACGTTGGAGACCTGGGGTCCCACCCCAGTTGCACCTAAAGGGACCCTGTGCCACTTTCTAATTACACGCTGAACCCCTCTAGTTTGGCAGTACCCATGGCCAAGCATGATTTTAGTTAGCTGGATGTAGATCAAAGGGGCTGGGGGGAGGTTAGTGCAGACAAGGCCTGAGGCTGCAAATGGACCATGTCACAGGTAGCTCCCAGAACCGAGAAGATCTTCACTTGTGAGGTTCATTCCCCGAGCCTTCACCCGTGTTCCCCCATGGCTGTCAAGCTCAGCTCAGCTGAAGAAGTCTTACGTAAGAATGGCTGGATTGAGTCAGACTAAAAATCCATCCAGACCAGTGTCCTGTTGGCCGACAGCGGCCAATGCCAGGTGCCCCGAGGGAGGGAACAGAACAGGGAACCATCCAGTGTTTCCTCCCCTGTCACCCATTTCCAGACAAACAGAGGCTAGGGACACCCTCCCTGCCCATCCTGGCTTGTAGCCATTGAAAGACCTAACTGCCATGAATTTATCTACTACTTTTTTGACCTCTGTTAAAGTCCTGGTCTTCACAACTTCCTCCAGCAAGGAGTTCCACCGGTTTGCTGTGCACTGTGTGAAGAAAAACTTCCTTTGGTTTGTTTGTTTTAAACCTGCTGCCTATTAATTTCATTGGGTTATTCCCCTCCCCCCTCAATTGTTATGTGATGGGAACAAAGTCAATCACTTTTCCTTATTCACTTTCTCCACACCTGTCATGATTTCATAGACCTCGCTCCTACCCCCCCTTGTTCTCCTCTTTTTTAAGATGAAAAGTCTCAGTCTTTTTAATCTCTCTTCATCACAAGACTGCTCTTTGTCCAGGAATTAGGATGCTTTTCCTACTTGGGTCATCATGGACCGGCCTTTTTCCTGTAGTGCCTTATTTTGGTTTTTCTTTCCTGTTTATCAGAGCAGCTATTCTCTGGCCCAGTTTGTGCGTGTTTTATTTGCGCCTGGTTTCATGGCAGCTGTCATAGGACTCAGCCCTGCCGGATGTTGAGCAATCTGGCCCAGAGCCCTTCAGTCACTTTCAGCGCCTGCTTAACTTTCAGCGCACGAGAAGTCAGGGGATGACTTTTTCTGTGGAGTAAGCGCTGTAGGAAGAACTTTCCTGGAGCAGGGCCAGCATGCTCCGAACCGGACGAATGTTTTGAATGTGCAGATTGCATGGGTGTGGGCTTGGCCGGCTAGGGGGAAAAGGTG